GCCTTATGGGTCTGATTGGAAACTGCGCGAGCTCCGATGGACTCCCCTTGAAACGGGCATCGGTTCTAATGCGACCTTATTGAGGCTGGCACCACCTCCTGCGGGATCCCGTTGGGCCTGGTGCAACCCCATGTTGATCCTCATGTAACTGGCACCAGCTCCGACTCCGCCGCGCACGCCAAACGCGGGGGTTAGCGCGCCGCGCGCGGGCGCGCTGATCCGCGCGGGTGCGTCGCGACTTCCCGCGGCCATATTGGGGCGAATTGGTGCAAGCTCCAACGCGATACGTTTGGAATTGGTGCGACATGGGGCCGCTTGGAAGTTTCACCAGCGCCAGCGAGGTTGCATTCGGTCTGGCGCCGACTACAATGTGATTTTACAATTTTCGGTCTGGCGCCCACTCAAGATCTCAGCGTTGCTAGGATGTCTTTGGCGTTGCCAAAGACATCCTTGCAGCGCGGAGACCTTGAGTGGGCTCGCAAATGCTTCGCATCTTTAAACTTGATGCAGATATGCCCAGGCACACAAAAACATAGAAAACAATACGGCCGAGCCACGGAAAACAGACACAGCCAGCGACAAAATAGCGTGCTCGCGCGGGAACGCTATCCTCGACAATTTGGCGAGCGTAGCCTGGGGCTGGGACTGTCCAACCCCGCGCTGGACACAATTGAACGCAAGACAGCCGAGAGACGGGGCACAAACAAGAAAACCCACACACAGAAACGTCAAACGAAAACCGACAAACCCAGACACGGACAAATACTCCAATAAAGAAGCAATACAAATGGACCCGAAACACAACAACGAACATCAAACAACACGGCCTCAACACCGAAACAACAAAAAACGATGGCCGAGACACAGAAACATGCGCGTAAATAACAACCGGACAACTACACAACCCAGACACGGAAAACAACAACAACAACAGCAACAACACACGCACGCACAGAAAGCAATGAGTCTGGAACAGGATAGCGCGCTCTCGCTGGCACGCTATCCCCGCCAACTCGGCGAACATAGCCTGGGGCCGAATCGGCCCAGACGGAGCGCCGCCCGTGGAAAACAAATCGAATGCCCAGACGCTGGCAAACGCATTGAACGCGGGGCGGCCGGGAGACGAGAAACAATGAAAGACAGCCCAGACACAGAAACATAAAAAACACACCCTCGCACGGAACACAAAAAACATCACAAGACGGGTAAGCGCGGAAAAACACTAAAAACAAACACAGAAAAAAAACAATTCATGAGGAGCACAGCGCCCGAGACACGGAAAGCCATATATATATGTATATATATCTATATATATAACTATATATATATATATAAAGGTGAACAACACCCAGGGGCATGCACAACGCAGACACGGAAAACAACAACGAAACATAAACCAATACGTCTGGATGGGGTTAGCGTGCTCGCGCGGGCACGCTACCCTTGCCAACTCGGCGAACATAGCCTGGGGCCGAATCGGCCCAGACGGAACGCCGCCCGTGGAAAACAAATCGAATGCCCAGACGCTGGAAAACGCATTGAACGCGGGGCGGCCGGGAGACGAGAAACAATGAAAGACAGCCCAGACACAGAAATATAAAAACAAACCCTTACACGGAAAACAAAAAAGCATCACAAGACGGGTAAGCGCGGAAAACAATAAAAACAAACACAGAAAAACAATTAACTCATGGAGAGCACAGCGGCCGAGACACGGAAAACCATTTATATATATAACAGACACGTAAACAACGCCCAGAAAAATGCACCGCACAGACACGGACAACAACAACGAAACAGAAACCAATACGTCTGGATGGGGTTAGCGTGCTCGCGCGGGTGCGCTATCCTTGCAAATTCGGCGAACATAGCACGTTGTCTGGGGCTGAGGCGGCCCAGACGGAATGGCGCCCGCGGAACACATTTCAAACATGATGCCCAAAAGACAAAACATGAACGCAAGACGGCCGAGAAAAAAGGGACACATAACACGCATGCGCAACAACAACGCGAGGAAACAAAACAAACCCAGGCACGGAAACAGCAACAAAACAAACATAGAGGAAACACGGGTACAATGAAAGGCAGCCCAGACACATAAACAGACAAACAAACCCAGACACGGAACACAAACAACAAACACATCACAAGACGGCTGGGCCTGGGGGGGGAACGCGAACATCAAGCACGACGGCCAGACGCAAAATAAACAAATGGAGAGCACAGCTGCCGAGACATGGAAAATAATGGAAAACAACGAGACTCGGAAGCAACAGCCAGAAAACGGCACCACCCAGACACGGAAAACAACAACCAAACAGAAAACAAAAACACATCCGGACACGGAAACAAACAAAGACAGACAGATCACGAGACGCCTGGACACGAAACATAACAACGAAAACCACGCAAATGGCCCAGGCCACGGGGAAATAAGAACAACCGGTCCCTCTTGCCTGAGTGGGCCGTCGGGGGTGGTTGCTTGGGCCCCTGCTGTCTGTCCTTCTACCCTCTCTGGAGGATTGGGGGATACTGTGCTTTCGAAAAACGCGAAGCCCCGTCAGGGGAGGGAAGGCGGGTAGGGCACGCTATCCCCATGGATGTCCTAGAGGTGTCTCAGTCCTCCTCCCCCTCTCCCATCCTTTACCCCTCCCGTTCCCCGCCCTCTTCCCCCTCTTCCTCCTCCTGCGCAGGGCCCAGCCAAGGCTGGCAAGGCGCGCTGCAAGTCCCAGGCCAAGTTCCGGCGAGCGCTGGGGAAGAGGCTCGGTTTCCAGGCGCGAGAGGCGAAGCTGGCCCCGACCGGCGCCAGTCTCGAGTTCATGGGCAAGGTGGGCAGCCAGAAACGTTCACAGGATAAGACAGAGAAGGCTGCGCGACAGGACACAGTGAAACGCCAGCGGGTCGGGCGCACGCTTGCGAGCGCCAGCTGGCGCGACGGGACCATCGGCCCATCCTTCATCGCGCTTGGCGCGGACGACGCGCACACCCCAGAGGCCATGGAGGCGATGAAGCAGATCAACGCCACTTATTCAGCGGCACTCGGCCAAACCCACCAACGCGCCCGGGCCATGGATAGGAGACCTCTTTGGGGAACTTCTGGTCCTCTGGGGAGGCTTCTCCGGCACCTCTCGGAAGGATTTCCAGGGGCTCTTGGGGGCCTCTCGGGCAATACGTTGGCAGCCTCTGGACCTTTTAGAGGTGCGTCGGGGGCTTGTTGGGAGCAACGTATTGGCAGCTGCCCCTCCCCGTCTAGAGGTACGTCGGGAGCTTCCTGGGCCGTCTTGGGGACTTCGTGGGCCGTCTTGGGAATCTCTTTGGCGATATTGGAGCCTTCTTGAGGACCTCTTGGGCTGTCTTGTGCCGATCTTGACGAGAGACCGGCGTCGGTGTTTAGGGCTTTTTTGGAGGTCATCTTGCAGCCATCGTGGAGCATCGGGGCCTCTTGGGCGGACGCTCCATTCAGCGCCTACGGCATGACGGCGGATCCTGGGCACATCAAGGCCATGCCTTCTGGGAGGAAGACGCACTTTTTCGACGGGGGGCTTGCTCTTGAATACCTCGAGCATTTGAAAGTGGTGTTTCGGGCGAGGCGCGAGTTCTTGCACGAAAAGTTCGGCGCCCCCATAGCGGATCTCAGGGGCGCTTTATTGTGGGATGCCGCGCCATCTTCGATCGGCAAGAACTACGAATCGCTTCGCGAGCGTGGGAGGACGAGCTGCAGGTGCAAGAGATTATCTTGCTCCTCCTCCTGCTCCTCCACCTGTTCCTCCCCCGCCCCCGCCCTCAGGGGCGGCGGCGGGGGGCGGCGGGGATGGCGCGCGCTGCGTGCCATCCCACCCGAGAAGCAATGAGTCTAGGGCATCGTTGTACGTGAGCCCAATTTTGGGACACCCGCCCCCGGCAGGGCTCGATGCTGGCCACCCCTGGGGCCACGAATCACACGCTATCCCCAGCGCAGGTGCGCGTCGTCAACGCGCCCGGTGGCTTCTCGGCTGCTGGGCAGCCGAATGATGCTTTCCACAACTGGCTCGATATGATCCGTTCGGCCACTCAACGGGCGGCGATGGGCATCTTCAGGAACCCCCTGAAGCGCCGGGCCATGCAAAATAAAGAGGATGGAGGACGACGAGGAGAACGAGTAGGAGTGGGAGCACGTGAGGGGGAGAGGAGGAGGGAGGAGGATGAGGATGGGGACGCACTCAAACCCGTCTCCGCCACGAGGAGGGGGGGCAAGCTATCCATCCCCACCCCTCGCTTTGTTGACCGCAACCGACGGCGGGAGGAAAAGGGCGGAGGAGGAAGACAAGGAGGGAGAAGGAGGAGGACCAGGAGGAGGGGGATGGGGCGCGCGCTATCCCTCGCACTCCTAGCATTCGCCAGAGGCGGGAAGAGATCACCGGGATGAAGCAGAATGGCGCAGGGTTCCTCGAGAAGCAGGTGTCCATGAATATCGTTCTCAAGTGCCACTTGTTTGCGCAATCTAAAATTACGCGGTCAATTCTGCTCTGGGCGTGGAGGTCCAGAAAGCTGATCTCCCTGGAGGAGCAGGCAGATCTCTTGAGTGAGGAACTGGGCAGGCCAAAGGCAGAGATCATGAGCGAGTTCGACTCGGACGAGCGGACCAAGATGGATGCCCTATGCGCCAACATCAAGGAGCTCAGGGACCTGTGAACAACCCAAGAGGCAGTCCTTCCCCTCCTCTCTCCTCCTAGTTATCACCCCCCCTCCCCGAACTAGACACGCTATCCCCAGGCGTGTCTCAGAGGTCACCCGGCCCTCTTCCTCCTCCACCTCCTACGTACGCGCTCTTCTCCCCTATGCGCGCAAGAAATCAGGACTCGCTCAAGACGTCGTCCACCGCAGAGCCTGAGCTGGACATCGCGCCGAAGTCCTGGCGCGAGGAGATGCTTCCTGGAGAATCTGACCTCCTGATCGTCTTGGAGAAGGACGGGGTCTTCACAGCTCTGCCGCGCTGGATGGCGCCGTCGGTAAAGGCTGCTCTCAGGGCGCACCACGTCACCAAGGTCAACGCCGAGCAGCGAGTATCGTCTGCGAAGGGCGAGAAGCAGCAACAGAAGGCTCAGCAGGCGCTCGAGCAAGCGCTCAAGGCAGACCGACCGCCTCGTAAAGCTTTCATGTGCTTTGACATGAGCACGCGCTGTCCCGTGGGGGCGCTCCAGCACGTGTCCCAGAAGTACCAGAAATAATACATCGCAGGCTTCATGCTGGACTGCTTGGCGCCTCAGACAGTCCGCGTTGCTGGGGGCATCTACAAGATGAGCTTCAGGCAATCCACCGCGGATCAGCCGGTTGACCTTCCGGACAACGAGGACGTGCAGAAGGTCGATCCGATCGCCGCCCAGGCGATGCAGAAGGTGCTCTCTGCTTACATGGAGGACGAGGACGCCGAATCCGACGAATCCAGCGTGGCTGCGGATGAGAAGGACATTCAGGATAGTATGCCTGCCCCCTCCTCCGCCCTCTTGCTAGACCATCTGGGTTTGGGTTTGAAATGTTTTTGACCAGGTTTTGGGCTTCGGGCTCGGGCACGCTATCCCCGCGCGCCTTGCGCCAGGAAGCCAATGACGCCGAGATCGCAGCTGCCATGGAGCTGGAGGAGCAAGAGCATGAAGCCACCGATGAGGCATGCGAGGAGTCTCATTCAGACGACGAGTCGGACATTGACGAAGACATGAGAATGTTCAAGGACGCCCTGAAGACAGCCGGAAAAACGGCTCCCGGGTTCTTCAATGAACTGGGATTTCTGGCCTGCGGGTCCACTTGGGGCTCCGTGATGTGGGAGCCCTGCGGCTCCCAGGGCACGACGGTAGTTGTTCGTGTCGGAGACACCTGCAAGCGCATGAGCGCGGAGCGCACAGAGGAAGTAGGCTTGCCCGCCGGCATGCCAGCGGGGTCGAGGGTCGTCAAGCGCGAGATTATCGGCACGGACGGTGCCGTTACATTGCGCTACAGGGCGTATCTGAATCACCCGATGGCCCGCGCCTCGGCGGCCCCCTAGACCAGGAGCAAGAGGAACAGAAGCAGGTGCAATTGCATGAGCGGGGGGAGGAGGAAGGGAGGGAGGGAGAGGAAGGAGGGAGGTGGAAGGAACGATACGGGGATAGCGCGCCCGACACCCCAATTCATCGCGCCCCCTCCCTCTTCCATATCCGTCACCGCGCTTGCAGCGGTTGGTGTGTCTCGGGCCCTTTCCTTCCTTGCGAAGCAATAATTTGGGCCCCCCGACGCATCGAGCCCAAGATGCGAGTCATGTTTGTGACCAAGCCAGTGCGTTTTTTGCCTTCCAAGCAGAAAGTGTGCCCAAATACGAAGTAACGGGAGGGGCCTACAATCGATCCTCCCCTGTTCCCAGCGCTCGCCTGCCCCCCCCCAGCCCTCTCCTCCCAATGGCCAACCGGCCACGAAGGCCCAAAAACTGGCGCAGAGAGCCCAAAGAGGCACTCAAAACGCTCCAAGAGGGCCCCGAGTCGCCGAAAGATCGCGCCAAAACGCCCAAGATGGCCCCAAGACGGCTCCAGAAGCCTCCAAGACGCCCCAAGAGGCCCCCAAGAGGCCTCCCAAGAGGGCTCCAAGATGCAAAAAAACGCCCCGTTCCCTTCGGAAAACGTATACGTTTAGCATCTTCGCCCGTTGAGATTTCGCAGCGTCCAAGACGGCACCAGAGGCCCCCAAGATCGCCCCGAGACGGCCCAAGAGGCCCCGAAGAGGGCTCCAAGACAGCCCAACAGGCCCCAAGACGGCCCAAGATGCCCCCAAGACGGCCCGAGGACGGGCCCGAGAGGGGGCCCAGAGGGGGGGGGGAGTGAGATATCGAGCCTTCGGCTCCAAGACGCCCCCATGGAGCCCCCGGGCTCCCAAGACGCCCCCAGAGGGCCCCAAGAGGCCCCCAAGACGCCCCAAGAGGTCAAACAAATGCCTCCAAGACGCCCCCGAGAGGCCTCCAAGATGCTTCCAAGGCGCCCCCCAAGAGTCCCCCGAGCTGGCTCCAAGACGCCCCCCAAGAGGCCCACGAGCGCGGTGGCGGATATGCGCGGCAGCGCAACTGGGTTCGTCCGAGAGCTAAGGCGAAGAGCACGTGCGCACGAGGAGGAGAATGCGGACACGCTATCCCCTCCACGTTAGCAGCCACAAGGATGAAGAACCGGCTTCGCAAACTAAGGTCAAAGCGGTGCGCGGCACGGGCAGTTTTACATCGACTGGCGGCGATGAGGCCAAGGAGAAGTGCATCCAGTGGCTTCGTGAGACGGACGAGCTCATGCGCCTGTGGGTTCTTTCCACCTGCCCCCTATAGTCCCACTCTCCTGCCAGCCTCGGCTGTAGAGGCCATATTGCTCCTGAAGTGTCGCCTATGCGACAGGCACTAATACACCTCTCCGCCTTTCCCCTCCCCTGCTTTCTCTCAGACGCAGGGACCTTCTGCCAACCATTTGATGCGGTAAGCGCTCATCTGGTATCAGGCTACGTCCGTGCTCTTTTGCTCCTTCCCCCCATGGCTGCATCCTCCCAGCCCAGTGCCTCTTGCCTATCGCGCTTCTGCGCACTTTGCCACTCCCCGAGTTATTTTTGTAGGGGCATGCGAAGTGGCTTGAGCTGCAGTGACAGCTGTGACATAGCAGCCTTGCTTCTCCCATGGCGTCGTTTCGCGTGGCCACCGTTCGCTTCGATGAAGCATATAGCCTCTTCGCCTCCTGGCACAAGGCCAGGGCCAGGCAATCTAGGTTGCCCACGACGGTCTGCGGTATGCCCGCCTGTCGCTGGAAGTGTGGTGGCTCTCTTAGGGAACCATCGCTACTTTTGCCTTACCATCAGCGGGCGGTGCCCATAGATGGGGGCACGCATTTGTGCTTGGCCGCTGGGGATCGGGCACGCTCGCGTCAATTGCGATGTTTTGCAGTTTGGGAGCTGCTCGGCTCAGGGCCGGGGCCGAATGTGATGGCTTGCGCTGGGCAGCTTCCATTATTATAGCCGGAGCTTTTCGTGGCGAGGTGCGAGCATCTTCCTGTCTCCCCTTGTTACCCCTGGTACCGAAGTAACGTAAACAAACACTTGTGAATCAGTTGTGGAGGATGGACGGGAATACAAGGGGGGTGGAGCTTCAGCGAAAAATCCTCCCTTCCCTCCCTCCCGATCTCTGTGCGATCGCGCATTGTAACCTGTCGGAGGATGCCCCTCCCCTCGAACTGTCTCGCGGCATTCGCTGGTCTGTTTCAGCTATTGTGTCGGATATTCAGGCGCGCTGGGCTTGTTGTTTACATGAGGGTCGTTGCTCACTCCCGCCTGCCACCCAAAAGAATACACGTTTCATTTGAGAGCAAGCACGCTCCCAATATATATTATTGGCTCAAGTCTGGCTACAATTTCAGGGGTGCCGAGCGCGATGACGTGTGAAGCCCGACACGCTATTCCTGCAACATTCCCTCCTCCTCCTCCTCGCCTGTGTCTCCTCCTTATTCCTCCTCCTCCTCCTCCTCCTCCTCCTCCTTAACTCCCTCCCTCCTCGTCCTGCTCCTGCTGAGTCCCTCCTCCTGGTCCTCTGCATCCCACTGATACCTCCCCCTCCTCCACAGCAATTGCCTTCTCAACGGCGATAGCGCCGCGGTGACGCGCGCCGGCTATCGCGGCGACGCGCGGCGGCTATCTACACGCTATCCCTTTGGGGCGATCCCCCATGACGAGGTTTCGCCTGGTGCCCGCCCGTTGCCACGCGTAGCTTCCACAATGTAGCTTATAAGACTTGACTGCAGCCAGAAATTGCACCTCATAGCTTGCACCGCACAGTTTATAAGGCATCGGTTACACCACATATAGTGCACAGCATAGCTTACGGCACATAGTTTACACCGCATCGGTCGTATACAATCCTCCCCTGACTCCTCCTCATCATCCTCAGATTCCTCCTTATCCTCCTTAAGTGTCGCCAACTCGACTGGGATAGCGTGGCGGCGACGCGCGTGGGCTGCACGCTATCCCTGTCAGACGATCCCCATGACGAGGTTTCGCCTGGTACATGCCTGTTGCAACGCAACTTCAACAGCACAGTTTACACCGCTTATCGTAGAAATCCCACCAGCCCTCTGGGCGAAGGTGGTCTAGGGCTCTTCCTCTTCCAACCTCCTTCTTCCACTTCGGGGAGGGGTTTTCCCCTCCTCCTACGCCCTACCCTGGAACTGGACGGGGCGTTCCGCGGGTTGTTGCAGCGTCCAAGATGTCCCAAGATGGCTCCAAGAGGGCCCAGGAGAGCCCAAGATGCCTCCAAGATGGGTCAAGATAGCCCAAGATGCCTCAAGATGCCTCCCAAGATGCTCCAAGAAGCCCAAAGACCGCCCCAAGACGGCTCCAAGTGGCCAAAGAGCTCCCAAAGGAGGACCCGAAGAGGCCAACATCCCTCCAAAACCTAAAGGAAATCCATGTGTGTTGCTTTCTCGCCTTTTCGCTTCCGATGGCCATCCGAAGCCTCTTTGGTGATCGATGTCCTCCAAGATGGCTCCAAGATGCGCCCAGGAAGCCCCAAGAGGCCCCAAGATTGCCCCGAGAGTCCCCAAGAGGTCCCCAAGAGGCCCCGAAGAGGACCCCAAGCGGCCCCAAGAGGCCCCCCCGAGGCACCCAATACGCCCAAGAGACCCCCCAGACCGCCAAGAGACCCCCAAGACGCCCCAAGAGGCCTCCAATAAGCGCCCAAGAGATATCCCAATATGATTCCGAGAGGCATCCAAGAGGCCTCTGGTCCTTTGCTCGCCCTCCTCCTCCTCCTCCTCCTCACTCCTCCTCCTCCTCCTCCTCCTCCTCCTCCTCCTCCTCATCTTGTTCATCATCCTTTTCCCTCCTCCCTCATCCATCCATCCATCCTCCTCCTTCTCCTCATCCTCCTCCTCCTCCTTCGAACGGTTCGGCTGTCCCCCTATTTGCTCCTACACTTCCCTGTTCACCTCAACTCGCCCGGGCGTCATTTCTGGATGGGCTGGTGGGGATACGCGAAGCGTCAAGAATTTTCTATTGCGCCAAATAGTGCGTACCGCCCAACTTACGACACATAAATTACGCTGCGTAGCTTGCGCCGCACCGCACAAATGGGACTTCATAGCTTACAACACATAGCTTACAACACATCGCTTGTATACACTCCTCCCATACTTCTTCCTGCTCCTCCTCCTCCTCCTCTTCCTCCTCCTCCTCCTCCAGCTCCTCCTCCTCCCCCACTGTCGCCAACGGGGGGGGATAGCGTGGCGGCGACGCGCATTGGCTCTTGCTCGCGCGCGCTTTCCAGATCGTGCACGCTATCCCTGTAAGGCGACCCCCCTGCGAGGGATTCTTCTGTGCACGCTATCCCTCTGACAGGGCTTCCTCCGTGCACGCTATCCCCATGGTGGGGGATAGCGTGCAATAGGCGGGCCGGCGGCGCCACTTTCCACGCTATCTTTCCGCCCCCAACCGTATATAGTATGAATAAATACGCCGGGCCGCCTCCCGGGGCGTCCTCCACCTCGGGGCGTCCACCACCTCGCTCACATTTCGGGGACGCTCCTGGTACCGCTCTTCCCGGCCTCCTGGGGAGCCCTCACATTGCCCAAAGACAGCCCAAGACAACCCCAAGAAGCCCCCACAACGTATAAGAATTGCCCAACACACCCCCAAGCAACCCATGATAGCTTTCGGGCGGCTCTCCAGGCTCCCAGGAGGCTTTCAAAAAACCTCAAGAGAGCTCCGAGAGGCCTCCCGAGAGCGCCTGGAGAACCTAACATCGTTAATTCTCATGTTTTTGTGTTAAAAGGTTTTTGGCCTTCTCACCATTTCATGCTTCCAACGCTCCAAGACGGCCGAAGAGGCCCCCAAGACCGCCCCAAGACCGCCCAAGAGGCCCCCAAGACGGCCCCAAGACGGGCCAAGACGGCCCCAAGACTGCCGAAGAGGCGCCCCGATCAGGTCCAGACCACCCCAGAACAGGCCCAAGATGAGCCCAAGAGCCTTGGTTTTACCGCGCAGTTCTCCTCCACGCGACACAAAGGCGTACGAGGAGGATTTTGTTGTTCTGCACCCCTCCTCCACGCGGCAATCCGCGCACGAGAGGGATTTGCGAGGAATTTGTTGTTCTGCACCCCTCCCCCACGCGGCAATCCGCGCACGAGGGGGATTTACCATTCTGCAGCCCTCTTCATCCGCTGCACGGTTGAGCGCATCAGCAGGCTCGCCACATATTGAACCCGCGCGAGTTGAACGGAGTGGATGGGCCACGGCGTCAAAACCTTCCTCGGTCCACATAATTTCATACCTATACGACCACCCGTCGGGTGAGAAGGAGGTTCGGGGGGGGAGGAACCAACGTCTCACTCGATCGGTTTCACGATCGATCTCACTATCGATCTCACTATCGGTCTCGCTGGATCGATCTCACTCGATCGATCTCACAATCGATCTCACTCGATCTACGTCATTCGATCGATCTCACAATCGATCTGACTATCGATCTCACAATCGATCTCACTATCGATCCCACTATCGATCTCATAATCGAGCTCACATTCGGTCTCACTATCGATCTCACTATCGATATCACAATCGATCTCACAATCAATGTCATCATCATCAACATCATCGTCATCAAGTTCATCATCATCATCCTCATCATCATCGGGACACCATCATCATCATCACCATCATCATCAACATCATCATCACCATCATCATCGGGACACCATCATCGTCACCGTCATCATCATCATCAACATCATCATCGGGACACCACCATCATCATCACCGGAACACCACCATCATATCATCATCATCTCATCATTATCAGCATCATGAACAACATCAAAAACATCATCATCATCATCATCGGGGCACTGTCATCATCATCATCATCAACATCATCATCATCATCAACATGATCACCATCGGGACACCATCATCATCGTCACCATCATTATCATCCATCATCATCGGGACACCATCATCATCGTCATCATCAACATCAGCATCATCATCATCATCGGGCCACTCACCATCATCAGCATCATCATCACCGAGAGAGCGTGATCCACCGCCGCTTTACTGTGGAAAATTGCCAACCTTTTCCTCTGGAACCCGGGGTCCCCCCCCCCCCCCCCCTCCGAAAATCCCCCCCCCCTGCTGGAACCCCTCCCCCCCCCCCCCCCCCCCCCCCCCCCCCCTTCCCCCGGCAAAAACCCCCCCCTCCCCTAACCCCTCCCCCCCCCCCCCCCCCCCCCCCCTCCAGAAAACCGGGGGGGTCACTACCGGTTCGAACCACCTCCCCCCCCCCCCCCCCCCCCTCTCCGGATCCAAAACCGGGGGGGGACACTACCGGTTCGAACCCCCCCCCTCCCCCCCCCCCCCCCACTCACCGCCAGCAAACGACTCCCGGTCCCCACCACCGTCCGCATCACATCCCCCACTGGTGTTCCCAGCACCACTGTCCTCACCACCGCTGTCCCCACTGGTTCCACCACCGCCCCTACTGTCCCCACCAGTGGCCCCACCACTGTCGCACTGTCCCCGCTGTCCCCAGAACTGTTCCCACCACGGTTCCACTCTCCCCACTGTCTCCACGGCCCCAACCACTGCCCGACTATCCCCACTGTCCCCACTGTCCCACTGACTCCTCCGCTGTCCCACTGAGCTGTCCCACTGTTCCCACCACTGTCCCCACTGTCCCCACCACTGTCCCCACTGTACCTCTGTCCCATTGTCCCACCGCCGTCCTCGCCACCGCCTTCACCACTGTCCCCACCACCATTGTACCCTCCACTGTCCCACTGTTTCCACCTCATTCCCATTGTCCCCACACCACTGTCCCCACCACCACCGTCACCACCACTGTCCACTGTCCCCCCCCTGTTCCCACCATTGTCCCCACCACTGTCCCCACCTACCGTCCCCACCGTCCCCACCACTGTCCCACTGTCCCACTGTCCCCACCACTGTCCCGCTGTCCCCTCACCACTGTCCCCACCAACACCGTCCCCACCACTGTCCGCACCCCCACTCGGTTTTCGAGGGGGGGGGGGGGGTTCGAACCGGTAGTGACCCCCCTCGGTTTTCCGGATCCGAGGGGGGGGGGGGGGGGGGGGTGGGGGGGGGGGGGGGGGGGGGGGGTGGGGGGTTCGAACCGGTAGTGACCCCCCCCCCTTTTCATGATGAGCATGGGGGGGGGGGAGGGGTTCGAACCGGTAGTGACCCCCCCCGGTTTTCCGGAGGGGGGGGGGGGGGGGGGAGGGGTTCGAACCGGTAGTGACCCCCCCCGGTTTTCCGCCAGCAGCGGTAGAACACGCTCTTTCTCATCACCTCATCATCATCCTCATCATCAACATCGTCATCATCGGGACACCATCATCAGCATCATCATCATCATCGGGCCACCATCATCATCAGCACCATCATCATCAACAGCATCATCATCAACCTCATCATCATCACCATCACCAGGACACCATCATCATCTTCATCTTCATCTTCATCATCATCATCATCATCATCATCATCATCATCTCATCATCAGTAACATCATCAGGATCATCAACATCATCATCATTATCGGGAAACCATCACCATCATCGTCAGGAACATCAGCATCATCAACATCATCATCGGGACGCCATCATCATCACCACCATGGCCATCATTATCATCATCATTAACATCGTCAACATCATCATTATCATCATCATCATCATCGGGACACCATCATCATCACCACCATCATCATCATCCTCATCACCATCATCATCATCATCAACATCATCGTCATCATCATCGTCATCATCATCATCATCATCATCATCATCATCATCGGGGCACCGACGGGGCACCGGCGGGACACCGGCGGGACACCGCTGGCCACCGGCCCCCGGAAAGGAATCATTTGGTCCGGCCGCGCCTCAGCCGGAGGCGGGACACCCGCGGGACACCGCGGGCCACCGGCCCCCGGAAAGGAATCATTTGGTCCGGCCGCGCCTCAGCTGGAGGAGACTTTCTTTTCGCCCGCCCACGCAGCTGCACCTTGCCCGCACGCGCGGCACGCACGAACACGAAACCGAAGCCGATTTCCCGGTAGGGGGGCTCTCCGTTCCACTTCGATCTCACCCCCTCACCTCCGATCCATGAAAGTCGGCCCTGGGCCGAAGTGGGGGCCGAAGCCCTGCGTGGGTAGGGGCTTCCCACAGGCGTGCTGCCACGCACCTCCTGAAGCAACCCCGGCAGCCATGCCTGTGCCATTGCGGAACCCCGCCTGCCCAAGGATCGAGCCGAGTCCAGAGCGATGATGACGATGAGGATGAGGATGATGGTGATGATGATGAGGAGGATGAGGATGAGGATGAGGATGAGGATGAGGATGAGGATGAGGATGAGGATGAGGATGCTGATGATGCTGATGCTGATGCTGATGCTGATGCTGATGCTGCTGATCCTGATGATGATGCTGCTGCTGCTGATGATGATTATCATGATGATCATGATGATTATGATGATCATGATCAGGATGACGATGATGATGATGATGATGATGATGATGATGATGATGATGATGATGATGATGATGAGGAGGATGAGGATGAGGATGAGGATGAGGATGAGGATGAGGATGAGGAGGAGGAGGAGGAGGAGGAGGATGAGGTGGAGGAGGATGAGGAGGAGGAGGAGGATGAGGAGGATGAGGAGGCTGAGGAGGATGAGGATGAGGATGAGGATGAGGATGATGATGCTGATGCTGATGCTGATGCTGAGAATGATGATCGGGTAATGACATAACGGTATGGTAGCGGTGCTCGGCGCAGCCGATATACATCAACGTGCACACGCACGGGGGCCTTCGGGCCCCGCCCATGGAGGAGGAGGGTGAGGTGAGCGCGTTGTGGCGCTCAGCGGCACGGGCCTCCCGCCGCCGAGCTCGGCGCTCGCGCCTCCCCGCGTGGGGTGCCTCCCCTGCCGCATCCTCGGTGCGGCGACCCGTTGGGCGCTGGCACCTCCCGCGCACTGGTTGTGGAGCGAGACCACGCGCCCCCTCCGCGTAGCAGCCGCAGACCGCGCAGAAGACGAGGCGGCGCTGCCCTTCGCCGATTGCCCAGAGGCGGTGCGACTCATCGAAGCTCACGTTCCACCAGCGCGGGCGGCCGCCCGCGGCCTCGGCGCCCGCGGCTGCGCCGCTCTCCTCCTCGCTGCCGTCGCCGTGCTGGGCGCCTCCGCGAGCCTGGGCCGCCAGCGCCGCCGCCGCCACGGCGCCAGCGACGGCCGTTCCCGAGCCCTCGGCGCCTCGTCGGCCCGCGCCCGCGGCGGTCCGCGCGCGGGCGCGCCGCGCGTCGGCCTCTTGGCCAGGGGCCTGGCGCTTCCGCCCAGCCGTCCGAGGCCCAGGTGGCCCGCCATGAACGGGCGTGCCGTCCGATCGGCCCGCGCATGCGTTGCATAGCCAGCGCGACCCGTTCGCGTCCGAGACCGCCGCGCCGCGCGCAGCGCAGGGCCATCGTCTGCAGCCTGGCCCGCCGTCGCGGCATCGCGCGGCGCCCCGTCGCCCGCGCCCGTCGCCGGCGCCCGCGCCCGCGCCGTCGGCCGCCGTGAGAGCGGCGCTCCCTGGCTGCAGCGCCTCGCCGGGCCAGCGGGTTGTCGCCGCCGCGATCGCGTCGGCCAGCTCGACGCGCCTCGCCGCCGCCTCGCACGCGGGGTGGAGCTCCGCACCCTTCTTATTGGCGAAGCTGTCCGCGGCGCGGTTGCCCTCGTGGTCGCCCAGCACGGCGTGGCCGTTGCGGACCGAGCGGAACGCGGCGTGTCTTTTCACCTTGGTGACCCGCACGAGCTGCTGGCCGCCGAAGCCCTCCGCGGCCTGCCAGAACTCGCGCCACACCTCTAGGCGCGGGCGGTCCCACGCGCAGCACCAGGCCCTGCCCGCGGCGAGCCCCGTCACGAGCAGCTCGCAGTCCGTCCTGATCTCGAGGGGCCCGTCCGCGCCTGGCATGCCCCAGCGAAGGGCACGGGCCGCAGCCAGGATCTCGCCCGCGTTGGCGCCCTGCGGCAGGTGGCGGAGGCGCAGCCCCAGGCGCCGCGCGCTGCGCCGTGGGCCTGCAGCGCCGCGAGCCCCCAGCCAGCGCGCACCTCGGGCGACCCCGCCTTGCCGCGCATCGCCGAGCCGTCGGTGCACAGGACGCTTGCGCCTGCCAGGGCCGCGCAGCCGTGGCCGCTGCTCCACCGCACCTCCTCGGTCTCCAGCGGCGGCGGGAGGGCGGCCATCT